ATTATTATTATTATTATTATTATTATTATTATTATTAATCATTCAGTAACGGTACTATAATCTCTCTGAATATGAAATATAGTGTAACAATCGCAATTTGTGGTAATAATTGCTATTCATAATTTTTCGTAATTTAATAAAGAATTTTCGCTTGTTTTAGCGATGTAAGTGCGTTGAAAACTAAAATCGGACAATGCAAGTTTTATTGCTAGCATAATGGACTTAAAATATAAGGTAACAACTGTGACAGTAAATGTATGATTTTTGAGTATTAATAAAAAAAATTGCGATTAAAAACCATTAAACATTACTGATATAAATTGGTGATAAGAATTTATGATTATTAGTACAATACTGATTGTGTTATAATAATAATAATAATAATAGTAATAATAATAATAATAATAATAACATAAATGAAAATGATAATAATAATAATAATAATAATAATAATAATAATAATAATAATAATATGAATATGAATATGAATATGAATATGAATAGAATATGAATAATAAAATAAATATTTGATTATTAGTATTTGATATATAAAGTTTTTAAAATTCTAATTTCGGTAAGTAACTACTGCAATTGTTAATTTTGTTATTGTCATTATTATCAATATCAGTCATTTTAGTAATGATAGCAGTTATGCTTAATACTATCTTATTATGCTCATTTTTGATTTCAATTTTTTTCAAAAAAAAAAACGATTAAAGCTATAAAAGTAAAAATTATTCAGCACTTAATAATATTTCTAAAGTTAAAATTTTAGCAAATTTGACTCATTTTTCCTTGAATCTTATTAAGTAATGTCATTAATCTTTTCATTATATAATAATTAATTATTCTCTCATTTTCACCTTTTTTATTTCGATAACAAAAATTTAATCTTTAAAAAAGAGAAAAACGACAAAGACTTTTTTATTTAAAATATTTTCGAGTTTTTAAGGACATGAAGGTGATATTATTGAAAGATTAGAGAAGTTTAACACAAATATGAAGCAAGAATGATTGCCCAATCGTCCTTTACTGTGTAATAACAGACTGATCACTAGTTTTTTTTTATGACCAAGAATTAACGTGTTTTTTTAGCTCATTCATTACTATCATTCATGGAAACTTAAGCAAAGTAATTGACCTTACTTTTGCGTTAGTTATTTTCTAATGAATATGAACTGTATTTATGTAACTGAAATTTGACGAATAATTAAAAGAAAGTTTATTTTATTAACTTGAATATTAATTATGCAAATTTTCTATTTTTCGACTTTAATGCTTCAAATTTATGCTCATTTTCAAATTTAAAATTGATTTATTTTAGTAATTTTTTTTTAAAAGTAATTAACACTGAAAAAAATTAAAGTTATTTTGCAATATAAATTGCATATACATATGAAACGAACAAAAAATGAATATAGTTTTGATATATATAATCAAAATTAATTAAATTAAAAAATTTTTCCATATTAATTCAAATATTTGTTAGTAGTTCAGATAAGAGTTCAATTTTTGAAAATTCTGATAAAAAATATTAAATGCATTGTCTTGTTTTGACACAAAACAAAAATCTTTTGGAATAAATTTTTTCAAATAAAACATTTTTTAATCAATCGAAGCAGTAAATAAACAAAATTGGAGTGAAATTTTTTTTATACCACAAAAATTTCTTTGTAATATATTTTAAAAAAATACAATTTAAAAATGTTTTGTAGAAAATTTGACTTTGAAAACTTGGGAAATTCCTTAAGACTTAAAAATGAATTTTACATTTTTATATTATCAAATTTTCTGAGATTAATATAACCAAAGCTTTTACTACCAATTAATAAATTTGTCGAGTGCACGATTTATTCTTGTTTTTATCATCAGCAATTAGGAGTTGATTTAGGCAATTTAGTTGATTTCTTATGTACTTTCTGAAATTTGTAAAAAATATTTGCTGAATCACTGCATTTAATTATATTTAAGTAATTAAATTTCAAGAAAAATTTTAAAAATTTGAGAAATTACCAAATTATGCAAAAAAATTTTTATATATCAGATTTTTACACTCAATATAGTGATAAAATTAATTCAAATCAAGATTATTTTTATTTCCAAAAATATTGCAAATGTTATTAAATTGAAAAATTTGAAAATAATATTAATTAATAACAATGGATTATGATAAATGTAAACATCCAAATACTGATAATAGTTTATAATAATAGTAGTTTTCTTTGCGTTACAAAGTTTGCATTATAAAAATGTATAATTTGTGGATCATAATCTAATTGCTTGCAATAATTTATGCTCAAAAATTAATTAAACTAAATTTCAGCGATAATTTGAGAAAAATATGGCAAATGCGACGGGCCAAAGGAATTTTGTAATTGATATCTCAACTCCCGAAACATTGGAACGAGACTTCTATGCTTGGCTTTATGTAATTTTTAGCAAATTTTACTGCTAATTTAATATTTAGTTTTAAGAATGATTTTAAAATGATCAATAATTTTTTAATTAATATATATTTAATTTTTTTGAAACATAAAACTTTTGATTACGAGAACGAAAAATGAATTCAGTCAAACAAAAAATTGCCAACTTAACACTATTAAGATATGATTGAATTTATTACACTGATGATTATTGTAATTATAATAAGGGTATATTGGACTAAATTACTTATAAACTGATATTGTTATACTTATGATTATTATAAGTATAATAAAGGTATTTTGATCTAATCACTTATTGAAAACTCTAAAACATTTGCTTTTTCAGAAGATTGAAGTTTTAAAGTTATAATTGTATGAATAGCATCACCACTACTGGTATCACTGATAATGATAGCGATGATAATCTTGATATTCTCATGACTTTCATGCCATTTTGATAAATTATTTCTAGTGTTAATTTTAGTGCCAGAAGTATTGATATCGTTATTATTTCACCAACATGTTTATTATAAATATTAGTGATAATGAATTTAATGCATTGATAATATTAATAATAATTGAACAAATAATGCTAATAATTATTTTAAAAAGTGCTAATAATTTTTTATTCCAAAAAGTATTTTTTCTAAAACCGATTTTTTGCCATAGTTATTTTTTACAACTATTATGAATGCTTCTTTTACGAATAGTCTTTTTTTGAGTAATTTTTTGCTTTTTTAATTCGAAAAAAGTTAAAAGTGCATTAAATTTTTTACTTTTGCAATTTTTTAGGAAAAAATTTAAACCAATCATTACTGCTGCAAAAGAATTTTTCGCATACCATTCATTTATTTTGCTTGCATATTTATTACTTAAAAACTTAATCAATCTTTAAAAGTGTAAAATGAAATTATTTTTTTTATACTTTTATTTTTTTACGCTACAAAATTTGAACTCATTTATGAAAATTACACATAATTATTACAAGAGTAAACGAGTAAAAACGTATACGTACGTCATTCCCAAATTCTTTCTTGAAATAATTATCTTACTGTTCAGAATTTTTTTTTCACTCTACTTAAATAACTGTTAAAAAATTGATAATACTTAAAATTAGTCGTATTTTTTATTTTGATAATTCGCATATGTGAAATAATTTTAGTTATTATATGTATTTCAAAAATTTTACTTATACTTATTAATAAAAATATGCTTTATAATGGTATTAAGTTTTATTTAGCAAATTTATATTGTGAAATTGACTAAATTTTTTACTTTTTAGTTGTGCGTTTTATTTTAAAACTGAATTTAAAAAAAGTTATTGATTATGATTTATATTTTCATATGCATATAACTTATAGTTTTGATGTCTGACCTTTAACCTTTATAAATTCTGTGCTGAAATATCTCGTAATAAAAGTAATAATGGTAGTGAGAAGAGAGTTAGTATAACTATAAAAAAGTTTGTCAAGCTTGATGAATATAACATTTGACAGCAAAAGTAGATAAAGTTTCATGTTAAGGATTCAGTGTTCTTAGTAATGATGATAGAAAAATTAATTCTCAATAGAGTGAAGAATGAATAAATAGTGCAAAAATTATGCAAAAAATAAAAAGAAATGAATATCTAAACTTTCCAACAGAAAATAATTTAAATATTATAGGGCGAAGGTCAGACAAACAACCGTAATTTGGAACGTTTACCTCCCATTGATGATTTAGCGTTTGGTGGTCGTGACCTTTTCGTATCACCAGACGATCTTTCAGATGGCGGATCGTTTGCTGGTAGTCCACCATCTTCAACATCTTCAGATTCTAATGATTCTAGATCATCATATGAATCTGAGCCACGCCGAAAATCTATTAGCTCATGTCCTAATCGCAGTTCAGGTTAACAAATTAATGATAAATCTTCAACAATGAGTTTCCATTTCTTGTAGGTATCATAAAATTTTTAACAATTTAATTTTTGCAATTACGCGTCTTGTTTCAAAATAAAGAAATACAAGTAGCTCAGAAGCAAGTAAAATCTTTAATAGTACTATTCAGTTAAGGATTGACTTGGACCTGTTAGATTAGCCTAAACTTTAAGCCAGCAGGTAGAATAAAAATGCATGTTCATGCCAACTGCGGATCAAAAATGGATCAAACCCAAAGAATTATAGGCACAAATCAACTAGGTCGTACGTACAGTCCTGGATTACCTTTATCAATGAGTGAGCGAGAACAAATTGTTAGCTTATACAAAAATGGTTGGAAGATTTGTGATATATCAAAACGTCTTTGCATCACACATAGTTGTGTGTCGAAAATTTTAAATCGGTTTCACTTTATTTTCAGCCTTATCTAATTACTGATTTAAACTTACAAAAAATTAGTCTAAACAGTTCTTTATATTAGCATGTTTATATTCAATTTTATGTGCTTTGTTTAAAATCTTACACATTTATTTAAATTATTTTTGTTTTGTTATTTGACTTATTCAATAAAATTTTTACAGAATATAGTTTTACGTCAATAATTTTGTTTTTATCGTAGTTTCGCGCCTTTCAACTTAAACAAAAAAATTTTTTTTTTGTAGTTTTATTTAAAAATAGTTTTTATTACTTTACGTATATATTATATATACAATAATCAGTGTGCCTTTCAGGTATCGTACGACAGGTTCAGTGAAGCCAAAAGATGCTAAAGAAGGACGAACAGAATCTCCGCTTGTAACAGCCATTCGAGACTACCGAACACGTCTTGGTATGAGCCGACAGGCAGAAATTCGAGAGCAATTGATTGCTGATGGCATTTGCAGTCGAGAAAATGCTCCTTCTCGATCGTCTATCAATCAGTAAGTTTATTCAATGAAAGTTTTTAACTTTTTTTTACAATTTTAATACAGTAATTTCCGTGAAAGTTAATGATACAATTACTTTAAATATTTCTATATTACAAATTTACAGTAATTATTTATTCTCTTTGAACTTTCCGCTTATAGTGACTTTTTTAATCATTTATTATCGTATTTTTATTTGCAAAAAGTTATCACTTGGTAATATTTTATTGATTATATTTTTACTACAGGTTTACTTGGCTATTACTATATTTAGAGACGCACAATTTGTGTATACATGAGTTGTAATCCGTAAAATATACGTGATATAATATACGTAATATAATATGCGTGAAATTCATTAGATAAGTTTTTATACAGTACGAATTCATAAATTTTTAGTTGAATATGGTATTGTTTGCAAAGCAAATTTTTCAAAATTTGTGACTATTTAAAATATTTGCATAAAATATTTAAATTATCAAGTTAATATTTGTAATTTGTTAAATTTTATTGTTCTATTTTGTTTGTTTACAAGTTTGCCTCCAACGCTTAATAAAAAATACATTTATTTAAACTTATTAAATTTTTTGAAATAAAAAAAGGATGTTCATAAATTTGTATTGTGATTCATAAGTATGAATTTGCAAAAATCCTTTAAATTTATACTCATGAATTACTTACTAAACAGTACGAATTTTTACTTAATTTTATGATTTTAGAATTACACGTAAATTTGAGTGCTTTTGAATTAATATATGGTGAAAAAAATTTTTTCAGCATTTTGAGGACAAAATTGGATGTAAAACGAGGAAGGAATCAAGCAAAAATTGATATTCTCGATGAATTTCAAGTAAATTCGCATAAAGCATACATATATTGACCACAACTGAAATGAACTCTCGACCTTTGCGTTAATAATTATATCTTTTGTGGACATCGATCAAAGTATATTATTATTCATTTCATTTGATATTTTTGCTGCTGAACTGCCAATTTTTAATAGTTTAAGTCAATTTTATCATTTTTTGTATTCTTATTTTTAATTAATTATAAATAATTTGCCATTTGTCATTTTATGCTTTTGCTACTCTGTGCTATCTGATGCTGCCTTTTGTCAATTTTTTTTTGCTTACTTTTTCGAAAAAATAAAAAATTAAACAAAAATTCTTTTTTTGTTACAAACTTGTTTTAATTTACTTTCTAATTTTCATTTACAAAATATTTTTTAGTAATTGTTTTTATGATGCATTTAAGACATTTATACAAAAGTGCGAAATACTCTAAGATATATTTTTGTAGTTTTAATATTCAGATTTTCGCAATCACGTCTGTTAGCTTAATTTCATTACACAAATTGTTTAATATTTAAAATATGCAATTTAATAAAACTGAAATTATCATTAAAAATAATTCAAAAAATTAAAACCCACGTAAATTGAAATTATTCAAATTTACTTTACAAATTTTATCGAATTCATAAATACTTTATTTTCATATTTGTATTTTTAGATATGCATAATGGCATTTTTAATTAATGCAATAGTAATACTGAATGAATATTGGAATTTACATAAGAAACTTTTATTTTTTCAGGCAACTTTCAGCAAAATTGTGCTAAAAAATTTGCATAATTTCCATGCACGTTTGTTTTTCATCCAATAAAACATGCAAATTGCAATAAGTTTTAAAATTAAAATATTTTTACTATTGCTAACTGCAAGAGCTATTTTTATAACTATATAACACTTCATTTTTTGAATTTAAAAAAAACCATTTTTTTTCTTTAAAATTCAAAGAATAATCACGTAGAAAGTTTTTGCAAATACACTGAAGAAAGATAATAAATAACTTAAGAATACCAAAACTAGAATTACAATCTTTTAAAAACTTGTATAATCAAATTTGTGATGGAAAACTTTAAATTGCATTCATAAAAGAGTTGTTATTTTTTTCATATTCAAATTCCAATTAATAATTTATTCTTAGCAAATTTTACTGCATTTATCACAATATTAAAAATTTTTTACATTTTTCATAAAGACTATCAATAAACACATGCATGCAGAATAGTTTGAAAGAAAAAATTCATTCTTAATTACTAATTTAATTAAGAATAATTTAATTAAAGTTAAGCTTACTTGAATAGCTTCAATAATATTATTTAATTAAGTTTTGATAATTTCAATTTAATTTTATCATTTTCAACCAAGGTTCAATTAGAAAATCATTGTTGATGCATTTATGTTCATTGCTCTCATCAGTACTGTTGCTTATATCACTGTCAAATTTTTGTATCCCAATATCGTAAGAAATTAAAGTGTTAATTTTTTCGAATAATAAATTCACTTATAGTGAATGTAAATAATAAATTGTTATGCTAATATGTATTCATAATTTTATGACGTTAAAATTATTAAATTATTAAAGCAATTATATTATATTATATTAAAGTGATGCTATTGTCCGTTCCTTCACATTGCTGTTCTTATGATAACTTTGTACGTTTGATCTCGACCATTCTATTTTGTGCTCTCGTGAACTTCATTTTTTTCATATCTCTTCTAGTAGCTTTCCCAATTTTGCTTAATCATTTTCAATTACTGCTTCTAATTGAATTAGTAATTTTCCAAAAATTTGAATAATTTTAGAATTTGAAAAAGTAATAGTATTTACGGTCGAGAAAAGTGATCGTAAGAAGAAGTTTACATTTTGCATTTGCGGTAAAAATATGAATAAATTTTATATTTTTACTGCAATTTATATGAATTATACATCTTTTTATTGAAATCAATGAATTTTTATCGCCGATTGGTTTTCTATGATATGATTAACTAACTTATCATCAAAAAATGTTATTCAAACTGATTCTTTGTATCCATGATTTATTTGATTTAATTTGAGTATTTTCATGCAGACATAAACTGATTACGATTTTTTTTTCATACCAGTCCAAGTTTACTACTTTGTTTATTTCTATCATTTATAAATTATAAAGAATAAAAATGTCTTGCAATTAAAATTTGTGCCAAACTTTACTGCAATCAAAAAGAGTAATTAACCAAGTACTAAGTAAAGAACAATTTGGAATACCTATAGTACTTAAATGCTAATTAAGACAAAAATCATTATGCAACATATATAAATTTAAGTAAATTAAATTTTCAAAAGTTGGTTAGCGAGGTATGAAAATGGCTGTATGGAAGCTATGCGTCACAGGAATTTACATATATTAAAATTTATCTAAGGATGTAAATTGCATGATAAATTCGAACAAAGTCATAAATGATATGCAAATTTAAATCAAAAACAAGTTTCATTAAAAATTGGTTCGAAGAAAAATGATATTTTAATTTTTAAAAATTTTTTTATTAAAATAAATTTAATGACTAAATCTTATTAGTAAACGAAATATAATGAATCATACATTCATTTAAAAAAAGAGCAAAAACATTTTAAGATATCTTACTAAATTGATACAAAATACGCAAGTAACTCATATAATTATTGATTTTGTCTAAAATTCAAAAAAAAACAAACGTAAAAATTAATCAGAACATAATTACTTCAATTTAAATTCCAAAGAATTTTTAATAATTACTGCATAACTTACAGCCATTTTCGGCAATGAATACATTCAACGATTCAAATGATCAATTGGTATCTTTTCTACAGCAATTTTTTATATTTATCTTTTTATGAGCGAAATAATCTCTGAAAAATATTTGTAAAAAATTCTTTGCGTGAGAATTTACATTTTCTCAAGTCAACTTTCCTCAATATCTCTTCTACGATCACATTTTTCATAGTTTAATTCATTTTTCGTTCTTCAAATATTATTTCTGACGATTTAATTTTTGACGTTTCAGTCTCTCCACTTTTATCCACTTTTTCTTTCATTTTCGTTTCTTAATATTTTTTATATTCATTAATTCTTTTAATTTTAATAACATATCCATTTTTTTTAGATTCTTTTCATCTCGTTAATACGTCTATTTTCTCACGTAGAATTTTGTCACGCCTCACTCTTCTTCGTCTTCTAGTAAATTAAATCTTTACATTATTTAGCTTTAGGCGCCTTTGTAAAAAATTTTTTGCGTGAGAATAAGTCAACGTGTCTTTTATTTTTCTCTAAAAGTATGCACATTTTTGCATACATTTGCATTTTACGTGGTAAAGGAAATAATGGAGAGAAATCGAAAGTAAATGTTGGTTACAATGTAAAATGAAATTTTATTTTCAGCACTGAAAAACGTGAAAGTGAAGCTAATATTTTATTAGGTCTCACCACGAAAACTTGACTTTTTAAATTTAAACTTTATACATTTACCTGTGGCGTACTGTATTTTCTTGGAAGCACGCCCTTGCGCATTTGGACATGCGTGTATAGGACCCAGCAGGGTATGCATTCACGTGCACATTTTTGTAAATGTATTTGAGGATGTGTATGTTTAATTCATGCGTGATTTTTTATGTGTTATATATCTTTGTGTGTATAAGTTTAAATAAAGTAACTACAAGTCTTTCTAAAAATGACTGTCGGCTATATTTTTTTAATATTGTATGAGCAGTTTATTTTTGTATTTCCGGTTGACACAATTTAAGATCGAAAATTTTTTGAAAGGTAATTTACTTTTTGCTAACTATAAAGTGTTTCTTTTTTATGCATAAAACTCGTAGTCTTTTATATAATTTATATATGTCTGTGTGTAGTCCTGCTTGTTGTAATAATAATTTGTCTTATGTTATTGACTATTTTCTAGATATCAAGTCATCATTAATGGATGGTGATGGAAGCGTCCTTAGTTCGGAAGTCGCTGCAAGTCTTCTCAGTTTTGAGGGAACAGAAAGTATTGGAGAAAATGGTAGGTCGTTTGTTGCATATTCTGATAAATTATCAACTTTCAAGAATTGGTTTTTGTTTACAAGATAATCATTTTACTTGTGTCTTTCTGCAAATGAAAAAATTTGTCTCAGTCTTCGATATCTGGCCATGAAATTGTTCTCGATTCACTGAATCAAATGAGGATATTCTTCCATAGACTTATTATTGACCTAGTTATTATTTGAGGTAAAGAATTATGGAGTAAGACTTACTACAGTATGCTGTATTTTCTGTTTTATAGTACAAAATCAAGTGGCGCGGTCAGCATCGCAAGTTCGAAAAGTGAATAAAGTTTGCGTTGTTGGAGCTGCGAACAAAAATATAGAAGTTATAAATTTATTGAAGGTAGTTTTAAATTATTCTATTCTGTAATCAATAGAACACAAGTTTTGATGCTGTGAACCGAAGAAATTTTTGTCATAAGCTTCTTTATCTCCAGTTCTTCCTTATTTTTTCTTAGTTCTTAGCCCATCGTTCTAAGTTTTTTGATTCGTGTCATAATATTCTCATTCAATTCAGAATCATTTTGGCGTTCAGTTGTTGGAAAGTGAAGATGGTTATGAGTTTTTACAAGATGTAAATGTCACCTTTTTATGTCAAAAATTTACTGATTGTCTCAGTTTCAAGTATCTTAATTCATTTCAAAAGCCAATTATTGGTCCAGCAATCGTTCGAAAACGTGCGATTGATGGAAAGGTATTGCTACTTTATTCAATTATATATGTTTTTTCTTTCAAACAGTTATTTATGAATCAAAACTCAGAACTATCTACTTACGTCTTGCTTAATGGTTACTTTATCCTTGAACATTGTTTTAAGAATCTTTCGAATAGGATTTTGTGATAGCTTCTGTACTTTAAAGCATAACTTTATAAATAAATCATTTTTTTGTGGTGTTCAGTACATTATTAAGTTTGTTTGAAAGTGTTGTGTATTTTTATATTTTTAGCCTTTATTGGTACCTCGTCCAAATCGTCCATTATATACTGATAGTATGGTCGGTGTACGCATTGCTTTATCAGGACTCTCCACAAAGTATTGTCGCGAAGCTGTAGATCTTGTGCATTTTATGGGTGGCAGCGCTCAGCGATTGTTTTCCGCTTCGACTACTCATTTAATTACTGATGCCGCTAAAGGCAACACTTATCGAGTGCATTTTGTCGATCAGTTTAATTTTATACTTATTTTTGATACATAAAATGAGGTTAATTCGTCAAGTTGGACTCTGTTTTCAATTGATTTTTTGCAGTCATCTTTTTATTGTAAGTTATTGTATGTAAATCATTAAAATTTTATTATATAATCTTCTCGTCAGTTTATCATTATTAGTTCAATTATTATGCCAAAATTCTTTTTAACATAATATGTAATTATAGATGGCAGTATCAATCGGATGTCGTGTAATGCATTTAGATTGGTTGAGGGCTGCATGGGCAATCAGAGATTCTGTACAAAAAAGTGTCACTACTGCAGACTTCGTTTGTTTTTCAATTTAGTTGTTTTTTTTGCATTTATTAAGTAATTGATGAGTTTGGTGTCACAATTTAGTTTTCGTTTTAGAAATTTCAGACCATTTCAGATGAGTAAGTACATGGTCGAACCATTTTGTGGATTGTCATTATGGTTTATTGCGTACGATAATAAAGATTTAGCTGAAATGAAGGAGAAAACAATAGAAAACAGTGTGTTTTACTTTGATTGCAGTGTCGTTGTTGCAAATTTCTTGATTTGAATTTTAAATTACATAACTTCTGAAAAATTTTTCTGTCAAATTTTTGAATGAGTTCATTGATTTCGGGACATCGGTATTTCATTAACAGAGATTAAAAGGTTAAAAGGGCATTTGATTAGTATTTTTGAATCAGGTTTAGAAATAAATAGAGCAAGGTTTTGTTTCTTAAGTATGATTTTACAATGTCAGAGTTTTTTAGGTTTATATTACTAATGTCAATATTTTTATTTATCGAGAAATTAATTTTTAGAAGGAAAAGTGGCTTCCAGTCAAGAAGAAGCAACGCACATTGTTATTTCAACATCACTGGATGCTAGTGTTGAAGGGTACAGTGCAAAACAACATTTGGTTACTGGAGAAGTTTGTTTATAAGATATACTTTTTACGAATTAAAGTGTACTTCAAATTATTATCATTTTTAGTGGTTTTGGATATCTGTGCAACTCAATTGTTGTGCTAATGAAAATATTTATCAATGGAAAAACCAACGGAACAAACGCTGTTGTGCGATCTCTCCAGCTGCTGCTGAGGCCACACGTGCTGCTAGAAAATCAGTTTCTAAGTAAAAATAAGTTTTACTTTTCAAGATAAAAAGTTTTTCAAGCATTGTAAATTCATACATTATTGTTTTAAGTCAGGTAATTCGAACTTCCACTTTTTTGATAATTGACACAAAATAGTGAAGAATATTTCAAAACAATTCTATTACAATTATCCACTACGAATGAATTACTGGTTTTTGAATTATTATAGCGTAGATGTTGTATTTCTTTTGTGGAAATATGTATGTAGGATCTAAACAAAGACTTACTTTCGAAAAAAGATTCATAATAGTAGTTAGTAAGCAAAGCTGTTGGAAATTTTGGAGTGTTTTAACTGATGTTAATTGCCGGAGAATCTCGGTAAAATCACGAATTATCTTTACAGGTCGTCTATAGAAGTTCTTGATAACAGCAATTGTTCAGCTTTACCAGGTTGGATTATTTTTGATAAAAGTTATCATTCAATTTTTTTCTGGTTTTTCACAGAATTTATTTGTAATAGTATTTTTATTAATTTTATTTAGTATTGTAAATTTGACTAAATACACTTTTCTAGCAAAAGTCTATTTCTTTATTTAATTTTCATTTTTGTGTCAGAATTCTTTGTAATAATTTCTGAGTTTTTGTGAATTTCTTTTTAGTAACATTGATAAATGCCATAACTTTAATCTGCTTCAGATTACTCTGAACATTTGTTGTCATCAGATGATATTGAGACATTGAGTAATAATTCTCCACTAAAACATAATGAAAGATATGCTGTATGTAAAGAAATGTTAGAAACCGAAGAAAATTATTTGAAGGCATTAAAAATCATTATTCAGGTATTTTTACTCAATTGTTTGTTTGAAGTAAATTCATTGTATCGTAAAAGACGTATGTCATGGACGGCTTATTAATCAATAACGCAAATTTCAAATCTTCACTTTGTAACTTAGTTATTCGTTTTCTGCCTTGATTCAAGTTAAAACATTATCAACCGAATGAAAGAATTTTTCATTATATTTTCCTTTATTACATTTTTTTTCTGGTACATAACATTGCATAATCTCTTTTGGTTTACACTTTTTTTTGCCTGGAATTTTCTATATTCACTTAAAGTGTTATGGGATGCAGGTATATAAAGAACCGTTAGAAACACAGTTATCGAATCCAGATAGCGGCCTTCTAACAAAAGCTGAAATAAGCCAAATGTTCTCAAAAGTACCTCCACTAATTGACGTTCACGAGAATATTTGTCGTACACTTCAGAGTTATATAATGCATTGGATGAATGAACGCTTAATTGGAAAAGTTTTTTTTTTACTTCTGTTCTATGACTGATAACTTCAGAATTTTACTTCTAATTTTCGCTCTTAAAAATTCGCAGAAACCCATATTATTCACGAGTTTTATAAGATGAAAACTTACATTATTTCAGTGCAACTTTAGTCTTTTAATATTTTAAAAATGTAGAAATAGATATTGGGAAGTAATTAACTACTGTTAATAGTTCTTATTATAAGTTTACTTTTATATAAAATGAAATACTTTTGGGATTATTTGAAATAGTTGCTTACTTCACAAAATCATTCTTTTCTCTAATGACTTAAAGAAAGGTTGTTCTCTTCACACTGATGTATCCAGTGATCAGAACTTCTGGTAGATTTTTTTGCGATACTTGTAGTTTTTTTTACTACCAATTTTTTAGGCCTGGTTAGATTACGTGGCAGAACTTACGCCTGTTTACAAAGCATTCATAAATAATTACGATACTGCCATACAAACATTGAATGAATGCGATGCAAATAAACCTAAATTTCATGCATTTTTGAAGGTAACTTAAGTATAACTGCAGACTTCTGGAACCACAATACTGGTCCCGTGAATTCATAGATTGATTAAGATTCAGAGAACAGAATTCTTAGTCAACTTATGAATTCCGTAGTAAACTGTTTCATTTTTCTGTAACAGGGATTTGCACTTTCTCAATCTGCTGCAGTGATTATTACCAATGTTCTGATCTGAAATTGATTTTTGAGGCCGCTGAAAGTCGTGTAGAATGCGAAAGAAACAGCTTGACCGACTTATTAATACGGCCAGTGCAACGTTTGCATTCAGTTGTTTTGCTAATAAAAGGTAAAATCTTTTACTAATAAAAAATCATTCTAGTTTTTTCAAACATTTCATTCATTGCACATTATGTTTTCTTTTTTACACGGATTCGTATTTATCAATTTTCTAAATATTTCAGCCATTCTTGGAAGGACTGATCGCAAAAACCCTGACCATGCTTATTTGACCAAAGCGAAACGAGCCATAGAAGCAGCTCTCACGTATCAGCTTTTTTCATTTTTTAATATTCATGCCTTCTCTTACTACTTTTTATCGCACGATAATTTTCCTACTCTAGTTTTGAAAAATGGTTTGTTTAGGAATAGAATAATTTTTTAGTGAGGCAAATGAATCACGGAGACAGACGGAATCTTATGCAATGATTTTCAAGTTATCCAGTGAAATTGACCGATGTCCTGTAAGTAAATTATGATGTTCAAGATCCACCAATTTTTTTAGATCTCATTTATTTGCAGTTATAAATCCTGTATTGAAAGTAGAAAATAAGACGCAAGAAGGCATTAGGAAGTTAATAGAAAGTACAGAAATTTAAATTTGATAAATGTTAGTTCTATGCTATATTTTATCAGCATATATCAGTGCATATTGAAAATCGAGCGTAAAATCATTACAGGCTGATATTTTGTCAAGTGCTCGAACTTTAAAAAGTGAGCTTCACGTTTTATCACTAGGAGGGGAAGATGAATGGGCTAAAACAAGGGACAAGAGAATGGTCATATTTTTATTCAATGATTTAATAGAAGTTGTAAAGGTAAGTTATGTGGGAATCTATATTTGTATATAAGTTTAATGAAAGTATATTGGAAATTGAATGTGAGAAATATCTGAGTTTAAATAAAAGCCAAATTTTACTATTTCAAGGTAAGAACTTGGAATGAAAATATCAGAACTCCAACTCGACGTAGTTTTTCTAATTATTCCCTCACGAGACAGTTATCTTTTTCGATATTAAAGCAAAACAAGAAGAAATACAAGCATCATCAGCAGTACATGCTTGCTTCAATTCGTAAAATACAAAGACTTGTTCATAAAGGTTAGTATATTATCTTCACCTTAATATCTATGCATTTCTGCCATTTGCAACTTTCAATTTTTTAGAAATTAAATCATTGTCTAAATTATTTTACACAATGAATCATGCGTAAGATATGATAAGGTATGATTTAGATATAAGCGGTGTGTTTATTCTTTCATTCCGAGTAAGTCAGGGCGAAGATTTTTGGGTTGCTCAGTGTTTGGAAAATCAAGAAGGAGATTTGGAAAAATTTTTGCGTGATGTTGCAGATCAGGTTCAAATAATTCTTTGCATTTAAAATGTATTAGATGATTGCAAATGTATATATTCTCTGCTTGTGGATCTCATATGTTTTTATTAAAAAGCAATACAAAATTTCACTTCTTCATTATAGGTTTACAAATTGGTGGGAAGAAATACACTGGTAGAAAAAGTAGATTTTGATCTTAATCCATCATTGTTAGGAGTGAAGGAAAATGTAGTCACTATCAGGAAAGCATTGAATCACGCGTAAGATATATTTTAAATATTTAAATTTGTATGTCAATGATAAGATCAGTGATTGAGTTTCCTAAATTATGTGTACTCAAGCCATTATTATTATATAAAGGTTTTGTGTTTATTTTTGACTGATATGTCATATTCTCGAATCAATTAGGTTTTCTGTGTTTTTTCATTTATCACTTCAAAAGGATATAATTCCTTATGTTATAAATGATTGCATTAATTTTACTGTCATGGTTAACAATCACTAAATTTATAAAGTAGCGATCAATTAATTTTTTTTTCTAGGATTCATAATTCAAACGACAAACAACACCAGACATCCGAAACTGTTCGAGCTCGACCTCAAAGTCACTTCAGACGTGCGATGTCCACTATACATTTGGGAATATCAAATACTTTGTCACGTCTACATTCACGTAGTAATCTTGATTCTGTTGATGAAAGCATTGAACGAGCTTCTCCTGGTGGAAGACGACACGCGAATATTTTCACAATACCTATTCGCGGTTCTCGACAAATGTTGTCAGCGTCAACTTTTTTACCTTCAGTCACTAAACATGATTCTATATTTTCACAGTCTATTAAAGAGTAGTCCTTGTAAATTTGTTCTTCTTCTGAAGTATTTTCTATGTAATTAGAGAGTGTTTAATTTGTGAATTTTAATGAAGTAGTTATATTCTGTTTTCAATTGTCAAAATTTATTACCATTATAAAATTCTCTAGTTTTGCGCTGTTAAATTTTGATTTACTCTATCAGATGAGTCAAGCAATCTCATATCTAAAATTTTTTGTATTTTACTTCTTGTGTTTCATTAGTATATTTAACCTGTTTTGTCACTGGATTCAATACTAAGCCTTGTGATAAAATCTAACAGTTTTCAAAACAAAAATTTGCTAGACAATAGTGAAAAACTGTTATTAACGAATTGCTGTTTTTAAAATTTCATGCTACGTTTCAGATAACGTATTTCTCTGTTAACGATAAACTGTTCATTACCTAATAATCGACAGTTGACAAATACAATATGTTGGCACTTATTGTGTCTGACAACGTGTTTATATTCGGTTACTGAAATATTCTTTCTAAACAGTTCACTACGTTCTCTGTACTTTTTTGCCTTTAGTTTTCTTCCATTGCGCATTTTGAAGTTTTTAAATTTTGTTAAAAAATTTTTTGCATAGTTTGCCGTAGTGTTGCCTTTTACGTGTATGTAATTTAAATCAATTTGTAATTAGCAGTTGTAAGCCTTTCTGTTAAAAATTTGCTTTTTTTTTAAATGTTTCAAAAGTTCAAGCCGTTTTTGAAATTTTTTCTTCTATTCACAAATAGAAAATTATTTTTGTAATGGGTTCTGTGCGACATAAAAATAAAGCTTTAATTATTAACAAATATTTCTGACTCTGTTACGGAAAAAATTTTTTTGCCGTGATTTTGTGTGGTGAAAGCATGATTATAACTTCGAAAATTGCATCCATTTGTTTTAGGTACATCAACAGAACTGTTATTTATCATGAAGAATCTATTTATTAAATTTAGCTATGCCTTGAAAATTCTAAAGTAGGGATTATATTTGTTCTTGGCAAACAGGTTTTCTTTTTGAATCCAACACCATAAATTCGTCGATACCAATGTATTCATCATCTTCTAGGTTCTGAATCTCGAACACTACCTGCAAAGTGATGTTTTTGAAATGATCTTGAGATTTCTGAGACACACAAATTGCGAACTTCTGATGGGATTTTTTCGATACTTTTAGATGACTGGGATTAAGTTGCGTAGAAAGTTTTATTGATTTCTAGCAGATATTAGCAGCATTTTCTGGGAATGGAAAGTATTATTATCCAAATAACTTATGTAATTGTGGATTTCAAGCAAGATTATGACATAATGAAGTTAAGTAGGTGCCTTCTTTTATATCCATTTTCATATGTCTTTACTCTGGTCAGTTCTATTTAAGAATAAATATTTCTAGTGATTACTAGCCAACACTAACATAATCATAGAATCCAGCTTGCATGAATATCAATTCTCGATACCATCGTCTAGTTTGTTCCTCCTTATTTTTTGCCTGTAAATTATGAATAGTTCTTTAGCAGAGTATCAAATTGAGTAAATTTTAGTTATATTGAAAATTATAATTTAGAACTAAGCACAGAAATCTTTCGGAAGGATTTAAAATTAACCGTAAAAATAATTCTTTCCTTGAAGTCATCTTTCATTTTAGCCAAAATATAGAAGTTGAAGTCATTCGATGTTCGGTAATAAGCAAAAACAAATATAAAGTCCATAGAATATTGGAAAGGCATACTGTAAAGTCGAGATTTTGCTACCGGACCTTTGAGAAAAATGAATGATCCTTCTGAAATTTTTCTGATAATAAAAATACTAATTCTTTCTTAGTTTTTCATTAAAACGAAAACTCTGAGATTATTAAATACTGCTACAGAATTATTAAACACCACTCTGTCATATTACTTTTCAGAACTGCTACAGTCATTAACAAGTTATTTAGTATACTATCTGTGAACTGTAATATTATTTTGATCACCATTTCAAGCTCCAAAACATTTATTTTTACTTCAGCTTTCAGGCAACTTGAAAAGTTTTGTAACCCTTCAAAATTGGCATAGAATGCTATCTGAAATACTTTCGAACTTTTCACTTCGTAATATTTGATCAAAAGATTTTTGATGTATAGTGCTTGTTATCGTTTTGATAATTAATATTATAAGCTCGGGAAGATAACTTTTGTTTAGAATTATATATGAGGTCAAGTATCAAAAAGTCTGAAAGTAATATATGTTTGTTGAAGCTTTCAGAGGTCAAAAATACAGTTTCCACTTTGCAATGGATTTTGTAATTTCATTACCACCTGTATTATATGGTATGTTCGAGGCATCACCTTCGATACTTATCTCATTGTCAGCAGTTGTCCTAAAAGACCACATCGAATTTGCAATATCAAGACCACAGTGGCCATCATTGTTTGTAAATGTACATTGTAGAACATCACAAACTGATTCGTAATTACTTTCACTAATTAACTTTTTGCTATCAGTACTTCGCATCGGCTTGTATTCATTACGTACGAGGCGTGTATTAGTGAATTCTTGCTAAAAAATGTTATCTTAACTTTATGTCGTACTTAAAACTTTGCATCGAAGTATAAAATTTTATCATTCAAAAGTGCTCCACAAGCTAGAAGAAAAATGAACCATCAATAATTAGCGATTGTAAAAATTTAGTATTTTTATTAGTTAGTTGAAATTATTAGAAATTGATAATTAAACAAACACTGTCTGGGGGCACAGCTGCATCAGAGCATAAATCTCCAAAGTATTCAATGTTGTCGATAATAGCAAAGCCTCCATTAAGATTGGCGGATTGGAACATAAAATTATCGGCTTGAATAAAAATCTGCAATTTGAAAAATTGTATAATTTATAAGACATTTAAAAGTCTAACAAGAACTGAGTACATGCGAACTGTTGATGCAAAAAACAATTATTTTCCAATTTAATATTCTATTTTATAATTAATATTTGCTGTTTCATCCGACCCAAAGGCAATTTTATAGCTTGTTTAATTTCTTTTTTTTGTAATAATCTTAATTAGTGTTGGAAATTAGCCAACTTCATTATTATGGATGAAGCATTATAACTTGCTAGTATTTTTGAATAAATTAGCAAATTATATATCTTTTGAATAAAAAAAATATAAATTTGTATTATTACTGACAGAACAAATGCTAGCAATACTTTAAATTTTGGAGCGCGATAAACTCCTGAAACAATATAACTCAGTCTATTCAATATAATCCGAGAATATACCGAAACTAGAACGCAATATTGCTAGAAATTTTCATATTCTGAAGTGGGCTTTTGCGCTGTCTAATTTGAAAATTAATTGAAACCTGAAATGGTTGTCTTTCCATGTCATCTATACTTATATGTGCTGGACCTGGATTACCATTTTGAATTGGATCAAAACAAAAATCATAATTAGGATATGGTTGGCTAGTACGTTTCACACAAACTGTTAGTCGTACTTCGGGACTCAGCCAATACCTGTAGTCATTTTTATCATTTATCAAGCTAGTATGATTCTTAAACTCTTTCAAGGCTAATAAAATCACAGACTTACAGAATTCGAATAATAAATTAAATAGTATATCGAGTATTTTTGACTAATGCCTAATAAATGATACTAATCAAATTTGTAATAAAATTATTAAATTTTGTTAATCTCCCCTCGAAATTGCTATTAACTTGTTAAATGAACTATAACATTTGTAAAATTACACAAACAATGCAATAATACTTTATATTATTTTCAAATGTTAGCTCACATAAATCGAAGTTCTGCTGGTCCAAGTTGACAACTTATTACATCGCTAACCAATGTTGCTTTCGACTTTGGATTCTTGATATGATCTGTTGCTACTATGGCATAATTGCCATCAGGGATAGTTTTAGTTCCTGTTGAAATCTAAATAGTTATTATTTGTAACGAAGCTAAAATTCATGGATAAAAATACGTGATTTAGTCAAACAGTGCACATTTGCATTGATATGAAATTGATAATTTCTGTAAAAGGGCTGAGAAAAATTGTTAAACTTTATTAAATAATTTTTGATACATAGCTTATGCCTTTTGTGTCACAAAAGTTTAGTCTTTTAGTGCAAATATCATTCTTATTTATTCTTTTCCGTAGAAATTATAAAATAACATCATTGCATAAATTTAACCACTTTCCTTGATAATTTGATTAATAAAAATTACATACTTTCAATCGGTTACCGTCAAGAAGACCATGTCCACGAAACCAATACAAGTCATCTATTAGCAAACTATGCATGTTATACCATCTACAGCTTGGGTCAAAATCATAGCACAACAAATCAGCTGTACCGTCGATTGGTTTATTTTGTAATAAATCATCTATAAAAGTGGAAAAGTTTGCAAAGATTTGATTTTGATGCTATGGACTGAAATAAAATCATTTTGTAGCAATATTTAATTGGTTAAATACAACTCGAAAATATAGGTACATTGAGCGAAATATAAAAGTAATTATAATTAGTTTAAAAGTATGACTATACCATTTGTTTGTGAAAAAATCTTCTAAAAATAGGTAATTTTTAAGCTTATTTTAACTGGTCAATATTGCATCATATACTTTGTAATTATTACAGAAATTTTTTTAATAACTGTCTATTGAAAATAGTTTTACTACTTTGTGAATCAGTTATGACACACGAAGGAGTTTGGAAGTACGCGATTCAGTAAAATCATAGATAAATAAGTATTCTGTTAAAAAAATGAATTTTTGTCATTAAAATTATTATTTTATCAGTATGATAACACACTGGCGTAAAAGTTGATTGGTTGAGATTGGAAAATGGCTTTGCCAAACGCGTAATGTGATTTTGACGGTACTTTGTTTGTGAAAATATCGTAATCAAACGATGCGCAAGCATAAATTTCTGTAAAAAAATTTGCAAAATAAAAAATATAATACTAATTGATGATAAACAATTTAATTACTTTGGTAATTAAACTTGTAGTTTGTTTTATAGAATTTTGGCATTACAAAAAATGAATAAATCAATCTTAAAAAGGTATTAGAATCAAAAATTTTAATAAATATGGAAATAAAAATAATCATCTTATTATAAATAAAATCTGTTTAGAAAATTAGTAATAATTGTTAATGATTAATATAAAAATACCTGAATAGAAGATAAAAGTCAAAAATATTACTATGATAGACATTTCCAATTTTTAAACTCGAAAATTATTTTCACTGCCACAAATGTCAATTTAAATCATTATTATTATTACTATTAACTTCATTACTATTATTCCCAGTCTTATTTACCAATGTACTTCAGCAACCACGCTCAAGTACTTGTGATAACCGATATTTACTCAGTAAACAAGCAAGTTCAAATAATTTTGTTTGTAAATTATGTCCGAAAACGTGAATTTATTATTTGGCGCCAGTCATTCAATCGTTCATGCCAATTTCCTTTAAAAGGTTTTTTGACTTTCAAAAATTGCCTACTTATAAGTAATTTCACTTAATGTAAACACTGTCTAATGTAAATTGTATCAGCTTGTGAATGCATTAACGTTTTTGTTGCAACCACTTTTTTGTTAATGAATGGATTTAGTTTTTTAGCCACGTTGCAATAAAATTTTACATATTTACATTTTTTATACATTATTAATCCAAAAAATCATTTGGTTGATTTTTTCATTTTTCACAAGTTTAAAAACATAAAAGTTCTTTTAGAAACTTTTAATAAATTCAGCATATCCAATACTGTTTTGTCACGATCATCATTTTTATAACATCATGCAGTAATAATATTCGGTAATTAAATATCTAATTTGGCGACTGGGTACAAATTCACTGACCAGCCACTGGATGGATCTAATTTCATGAGAGACCAGTAACCTGATTCAGATTATTTTTCTCTCAATCACCGTACGGTTTGTTGAATGTGTATATACTTTACACATGAACCTTTCAATACCAGTATTGTTTTAAAGGATTATGTTACTTTATCACAGTTGTTAAATGCAAACAAATCACCGCGAATAAATTGTCATCAAATTTCAGTGAAAACTCAAATATTTTTAATATAAGGTCACGGAAAATTTTTATCTCCAATCACATCTCTCAGCGACTCAAGTTCCAATTGTTGAGCCGTTTTCTTTTCGAGCTTGAAGGATGTCAGGTTGTGTATAAGGTATTAAAAGTAATTCTCGAACCTAACGGTGTTAATCATTTTATGATATGTTTTATTTTCTCGAGATATTATTTCTGCATCAAAACTGCTGATAAATAACAATAACAACATGTAAAAAGACGAAATAATAAATAATAATATTAGTAATAATAATATAAATAATTATTATTATAATTATAATAATGATATTCAAAGTTCATTCTCATTGCAACATACACTAAGAATATCATGATGCGAGACAACAATTTGAGCAAACCAAAAATGAATCTGTATAAGCAAGCACTTGAATTGTCAAATAAAAATTGCACTATCAAGAAGAGTAGATGTAAATTCCTTCCTTGATGATTGAAAAATCTACACAAACTGTGAGTACGGGAATATAATTTCGATTTACTGAGCTTACGTCATATTCAGATTCCACAGTCAATTTTTACTATGTTTTATTCGAATAGTTTTTATCCGATACAATTGTGTTACTTTAATTGTGCAGTCTGTGTGAAGTTCTTTCCACAATTATTGCACATATACTCCGATATGTATGCGCCTGTGTTTATTCAAACTACCAGGATACGCAAATCCTTTTTCGCACAGATCACACATGTACGGTTTTTCACCTGTATGTGTGCGTTTGCGTATATTCAAAGCACTACACGTTCTGAATCCTTTTTCGCACATATCACATATGTACGGTTTTTCACCGGTATGTATGAGCTTGTGTGTATTCAAACTTCAAGAAGCACTAAATCCTTTCTTACACACATCGCATTTGTACAGTTTATTTGCCGTGCTTTAACGTTTTATTTGCCTC